TATATATATATATATATATATATATATATATATATATACACACACACTAGCTAAAACTACGCAGTATTGCTCAGGTTATCACAAAGCGTCAACGGAATGCAATCAAAGGGTGGGGTGTCCATGTTTCATGTAGCCTGTATTTGCCTCAGGATACTAGAGAATAACGAATTTGGTTCAGAACGGTCAAAGGATTTAGGAGTGTATAGGGAACAGACAAAGACAGACATTTTATTCTATATATAGAGTGTACCAGACTCTCCTCCGCAATTTTTGTAGAAACGTAGAATGGTTTGAAAAGTTCTATACGGTATTGCGATATTCGCAATAATAGTCAAGATATTAATTAAAGAAGAACTGGTGAATGATCGATACGGTACATGAGCTGTAATAGCGTCGTTGTATACAATAGATTGAACAAAAAAGTCCTGTACTAGAAAGTTTAAATATTTAAAGACAAAAATAATAAAAATATCCAGGATTGAATATCTTATTGGATGCTGAGAGAAAAATCCAAGTGTTAACGGATTTAAAATATTCTGTTCAAGCAATATATCCGATCGATCGAAACGTATATCCGTTTGTTAATTTTTGATCGGATCGTGAACTTTTCTTTCAGTGTACGTGTCCGATACTTTTGTCCTTTTATCTTTTTTTTGTAAAAGTACTAATTCTCTGACACTTTTATTGGAAAAAGTACCATTTCTCGACATGTACCTAATACTGAACATTCTTATTGTTTCGATCTTTAAATACAGATATTTATACTCGGTTTCATCGATTAAGTTTTAACTTGAGTTCAAATTGTTTTCAGACAAAGGCTTCAACTCAGGTTAAAGTTTAATCGACGTTTAAGGACGTTGGTGGAGCCGGACCTTAATAAAGGCCAACACGAATGTCCAGGATTAAATACGTGATCAGGAATTTAGGTACTTTTACTTCGGATCACAACACAATGTGAAATTTACTATTTATCTAACTCTGTCTTTTTTTTATTTGCGCTCCGATATAAAATACCATCGTTAATCGATACCCCGTTGGCTCTTCGTTTCAGTCAGAAGTCAATTGATGAGATATAAGTGAGAGAAGCATCACCAAAGATGCTTGTCGAGCAAGGTATCATTCATAGAATAACCGGGAAGATATCAGCATGCTTTTATATCCTGGACGAAGCAGCGACTTATTTTCCTTTCAAATTGCCGCGTCAGGCGTCTCGATCCTTTCCGGCTGGCTGTTTTCCGAAAATCGATTCCCACGTCGAACGACGAGAACGTCCGGGTGTCTCCCGAGTAGGAAAAGATTTCCGAGGCGAAATTCCGCGGGCGTGCCGACGGATTTTCCGTGGAGCGACGGTATATCGACGTGAACTCTGGAAAGCGGAGGATCCCTTGGATGCTGTAACGGAGTAGTAGCACAAAGATGGGGGAATGCCGCGGACGTTGTCGAAGGTAAAATGAGAGGAACAAGAAAATATGCGGCTCGATGTCGGAAACTAGGGAACAACGTCGACATCGGAGCGCAATTACTGATGAACAAGCCGTCTCATTGGTGTGTAATAACGTTGTAATTACTGCTGCCACGATCCGCACTTGAGTCCGGAGATTCACGGTCGTCCGAGAATGAACGAGACAGCGGGAAAGCCCCACGTTAAGAGTTTATTGTCCGTGTCTCAAGAATAATGAAAAAAATTGTGAAAACATTAGAAGTTATTTATATCGCGTTTGATCACAAACAATTTGACATTAATTCCGAATCTAGATCAAAAGTTATTCCAAGTATAGTAAGCTCAGCAAATACGATGACGTCAAATAACTATTTGGGAGTATTGTGTTGTTATGAGAATATATGTTGTTACTATTTTTAGTAGAGAAAAAGATAATTAAAAGATAACAATTTCAATTTTTGCATATATATACTTTAAGAGTTAACCGTCGTTCAACGATACTTCCCGCAGCGGTGATAATATATTCAGTGGTAAACGAAAGGATGTGAACTCTCAACATTTCGTCGCGATTACACAAGAAGAAGAAAATGAATAAATCCGCCGAATAAATATGCCGGCGAATATTTTTTATCGCGTCTCGTATCTCTGTAACACACGCGTTCACGTAATTCCTCGCTTGAAAGTGATATATTCCTCGGTGTGACGATGTCGAAAGGAACTTCCCTCCTTTACGGTCCCATAAGCAGGTCTCCTAATCTTCTCTTTCTTTCCTTTTTTTCGTCCGTTTCTTCTCTATGCCCTTCCCTCCTTCCTCTCTCTCTCTCTTTCTCTCTCTCTCTCTCTCTCTCTCTCTCTCTCTCTCTCTCTCTGTCTGTCTGTCTGTCGTTCTTTCTCAGCCTTTTTTCCTCACACACGCAAAGACGATTTCCTTCCGCCGCTCGAGAAGCCCTTGGCTAACCGACCGCGTCCCGACTGTTCTATTTCTGAGCACGAACGCTCGAGAGAGATCAATCGTTCTCCCTGGTTCGCAACGAACGCCCCGAGCGTGGCTACTTCTTCCCAAGGCATTCCGATTGTCAAACGACCTCTCCGAGTCCTTTTACTCCTCGGCGCAAAGTGCTGCGAGTATCTTCTCGCACACGAAGTCCGTTTCGAAGGCAATTTAATTGAAATAACCCCCGACGGACCTTTCCTTAGCCCAGCTGTTTATGCTTATTCAGCATCCTCACCTCGCGTTTCGTTTCGCAAAGGTCAGCCCTCACCGATGGTTTAGCCGACAGTTCAGCTCACAACCAGGAGAGATGAAGGAACGCGAATTCCCTTTGACGCGAATACGTTTTTGTTCTGTGTCGTCAATTTTCTTTCCCCGGTTACTCGACAAGTCTTTGTGTAAACGGTCGTGCTCCCGTTACTTCTATTCCCGCGAGAACTCGAGCGGTCGGAATAAATTAATCCTTTCTCTCGGGTATATACAAAAGTGCACATCCTCTCGATTACATAAAATCACAACAAACACCGGAATAATTCTTTGCCGGTGAAAACACAGTTGTTGAAAAATATATTCATCTTGTTTTGTTTTATTTTTCCCCAAAAGAGACATTTATGCAGGGCACAAGGCGCACAGGAGAGCTTTATCATACATTTCCTGTTTTTTCTTTTCATTTCAAATGTTAACGACGTTTATTAGTTCTCCCTCCTTCCCATCCATACGCGGACAGACTCCTGACGTATTTCCGCGGTATAAAATCGGAAAAAGGCGCCTTTGACGCGCGGTGGGACATTAATCAAGCCTGCCGTCGGTATTTATTTTCTACCGTGGGCCAGAAAACAATGGGGAAATTGCTCGACACGAGTCCCAAAGCCGAGGATTCGTTCCGAATGAAACGCGACACGTCTCGAAACGGCGAACTATTCCCCAAGTGATCAGCGAACAATGAAGGGAGTCGTTCCGGGATCGTAAAATTCTCAAGAGTCTTTCTCTCTCTCCCTCTCCTTCTTAAGCGGTAACGGAACTTTCACGTTCCTTCCATCACTCGGTTTAACTGTTCTGGCATCTCAAGGCGAGTCATAAAATTGTTCCAAAAAAGGAGAAGAATTAGAGTGCGAAAGGGACAGGGGGAGAGGTGTCGAGAGATAATTTTTAGAGACACATTGGACTCATGTATTCAATCAGAACGCGCGCCATGATACGGCGCGCATAAATTTATAAAATGTTGTATACCTTTCATTAACCGGTGCCGAGAGAGGATATCCTGCGCGCAAGGAAGCCGTGGAAATTATTCCCCCTTGTCCCGGTGTATTAATCATCTTCCCGCTCGCTTCGCTTTTCGACATTCAAGCGAGATTCTCGTCCGGCGTTGACGCGGAATGAACACTCGAACGGGCGGATTAATAATTTCCATTTAATATGAGGAAGAACGAAATTTCATGGGCCGCGATAAATTTCATCAGCAACAGGATGTTTCAGAAATTTAAATATGCCTCTTCGCGCACCCTCTTTTTTTCTTTGCCAGATACCAAATCGAGAAACACGATCGATTTTATGTTAATCCTGACGGGAGTTAGGCTTGTTTTAATAGTTGTTACCTAAAACTTGTCTCAAGTGAGATAATCAGATTTCACTTCAGATTTAGATGATATATTTTTAGTCGAATCAAATTATAAATATAAATAATAATCATGAAATTATAGGAATAATAGGAATAATTACAGAATAAACTATAGAACACATTATATATATATATATATATATATATATATATATATATAACGTCTAACTATATATAACGTCTAACTTCGAATAAACATCTGAGTATCTCACACGTGAAATAAAAGTCTCAGGTGACAGCTATTAATACGGGCCTTAAGTCTTGTTCGCAGAAATGCATCGTTCGACACGACTCACAGAGAGATTCGCAAATAACGCGTTCGGCAAACACGCGTTTCGCGTCTCTTTATTGAGATAACTACGCGCTGCGTTGTGAGCGGGAATTTAATATCGTTTACATAGTTTCGCCGGCAAGATTTATCCTCGAAACCCGTCCCGCGTTTGCCTTGGAGCACGCCTTGACGTGACTGCCGCTGTTCATGCTAATTCTCAATTAATCGCTATGAGGCAAACGCAGACGCGTTCAAGGGTCCATCGTGCGAGAATCCTTTCGCAACGCAACGTAATATAGCGATTAAACCCCGTAACATTTAGAGACGACTTACGAGAATCGAAGTAATTAACGTTCCGTCCCTCCCTCTCTCTCTCTCTCTCTCTCTCTCTCTCTCTCTCTCTCTCTCTCTCGTCGTTTTCATAGCCGTTCTTTGCGACGTGTGTTTCAGGTCTCCGTAAGGTATACCCGTATTACTTTACCTTCACGACATTCACGAAAGGTCGATGGGTCGGCGAGAAGATACTGGAGGTCTTTGCGAGGGAATTCCGCGCTCATCCGGCCGAGGAATACGAGAGATGTATTCGCGCTGGCACTCTGACGGTCAACTACCAGAAGGTGGACGTCGACTACAGGTTACGGCACAACGATCTCCTGGCTAACGTCGTTCACAGGTGCGTGTGTGTCGGGTCAATTTCATTTCGGTTTCGACGCGAGACCTCGCCGTCGGCAAGAATTCATCCGGCCTGTATCGCGTTTCGTGCGCGATTGATTTTCGCGCCAGCCGAGAGAACTCGTCATCGCCGCCGTCGGCGGCGTTGTTGTGAGAGCCTCGCGAAAGTGCCGCGACTATTGTGAGAAAGCGGCGTCGACTTGCGCAAAGTTTGATTGAGTCGCGGAGATTGACAATATCGAACGTCGCCGTCGAACTATGAAATAGCCGAGGAAACCGGCAACATTCCGTTTCCACTACGGCCGTTCGCTGGCAATTTAGCCGCGGAAATGTAATCTCGCGGCGCCCCCCGCCCTTCGTGCGGATTTTTTCACGAACTCGCCACGGCACGGAGGTGGAGGGTCGCGTTTTCAAAATGGCATTTCACAAGAGCAGCACACGACAGCACACGGACTCTCTCGTTCGTCTCCCGGCGAAGAACGATCTTGCCATTTATGCGGGACGTTTTGCAATCGGACTCGCGATACGCCCCAGGTTCGTTCTTGCCTAGTGACTCTCGAGAGCTTGCGTTTCTCTGACCATGCGAAATTTCGTCCGACGTCGGAAAAGCTCGATGCGGGAGGGCGGGAGGGCTTATTGGCCCATCGTATAAATCCGAGGTTAGCTCCCTTCGGCAGGAATTTACTTTGATTTCTGAAGAGCCCCGGGAATTTGGCAAACCTGGTCGGGCGTAAATGAGATTGAGTTTAATTTGGGGAATTTCCGTGTTATCTCCACGCTTGAGCCTCGTTTCGCTCGCGCAAAATGCAACGTATCGCTGTACGATCGGCGCGATACTTCGGTCGGGGCAGATTGCGTTTGCGCACGTAGATTTTTAATCATTTCCGCGGGCGCACATGATTGCGGCACACGAAAATCGGCAGTGAGCAGCGGCGTACCGGTGCAATGTACATCGGCACACGTGTTTGCCGCGCTACGCTATATTATCGTCCCTAATGCGGATCAAATTTAGTCGATTTACACGGCACGGAAACGTATGCGTGGAAAGCGGCTCATGCTAAAGCGGCCAACATCGGATTAGCGCCGGATTACAACGATCCTCGAAACAGAAGTCTAAAATGTATAATCCGCGCATAAACGGTTTAATTCGCGCATGTTAGGGAGCGCAGCCGTTGTACGCCGCGCGAAAGGACACTTGGCGGCTGTGATTCGTCCCCCTTCCCCCCCCCCC